AATAAAAGTATCATGCCATGAGATGATATTTCCAGGCGTTCTAGCTGAAAATGGATCCAAAAGCGTGATCTTTTATTCATACTGTGTATATTTTCTCGGGTTAAAATAAAAAAATATCGATACTACGGAAAAATTGACGAATACCAAAATTGTACGGGACTCAATTTTATACAACTTTATTCATCACCATTTCCCACGTGGAATCGAAAATGAACGTGAAAATAGAATGATGAAATTAACTCTCTCCTTTTCTCGGGTTCATATCGAAAAAAAAAAACGAACCTACGAAAAAATTTATTGAAATCAAAATGAAAATGAACTTGATAACACAATGATATGATTTTACCTCCTCATTGTCTCGTGTTTAAATAAAAAACTATCAATCCGACGAAAAAATTTACAGGGACCAAAATTCATCCAAAACACTACGTCAAAGTCACCTCGGCTACTTCGTGTGACGTATAGGTCACTCAAAGTCAAACTGGAAACGCACTCCAAAAACCTTCGTCCATGCAGCTGGTCACTGTCGAATCCTCAAATCTTCGAAATTATATTTAATATGCGCGATATCAAACTAACTCCTGTGAGGGCGGCCCTCTTTTATATGCTCATTCAAAGAGTGGGGAAAGGAAGGAGAATACATGAGCGCCCTCAAATTCACCCCAGCAAATGCATATGATATTGCAAAGTATTGTTCAAAGTCAAATAATCGAATCTTCGAAATAGCCGCGTGGATCAATGAAAGTTGTTCAAGGTCAAACCCAAAAACACTACCTTGAAGTCACTTTGCCTGCATTGTGTGACGTAGGTCTGGGTCGTTCAAAGTCAAACTCAAAGCCATCTTTCAAAGTTACCTTAGTTACGTTGAATCGGGTAGGTTGAAAATTGGCTCGAATTCATTCGAAGTTGAAGTCACCTTGTCAAAAATATAGGGAGTGAATGAAGGTCATTCAACATCAAACTCAAAACACCACCTAAAAGTCACCTTGCCTGCGTCGCTGTGTGACGCAGGTTAAGGTCGTTCAAGGTCAAACTCATAACACCTCCTCAAAGTCACCTCGGCTACTTCGTGGGATGTTCTGGAATCGGCTCAAACCAACTACTAATATAGGCCATGACTCCTATTCATAATATCAGAATATATTTAGGTGAATTCATCTAACGATACGTCAGTCTGAATAGAATTGTCACTGCCAGTCAATGAAACATCTGTAGTGCAACATTCAGTTTCGATGATACCCACATTCCTAAATCGTCTCTAGGAATGTGTATGGTTTTGTTTAATATATTGAATGTGAGGTCTTGTTGTGTTTTGATTTGTACTTGTTCCTCGATAAGTGATTTACGACTGTTAAATTCATGAATGTTCAAGTTTTCCCAAATGTCCATTCGGTTTCCCTTGTTGACTTGTTTTATGAGTTTTATGTTCTCTGGTGGGAAAAATTATGTTTGTTTTGTATGGCATGTGTTGCGAGGTTTGATTTATATACTAGTAAATTTATGTATGCCTTTTTGTCCTCATTGTACCTTTGGATCTGTTTTTTCTTGGTTTGGCCGATATAGAATTTATTGCAGTCCGAGCATTGTATACTGTACATCCCGTTTTGGTCTTTGTCTTCTTCTTTTTCATAGTTGTTTATTTTTTGTGTTATCTTCGTGTTCGGCTTGTATGTGATGTTGATGTTCAGTGGTTTGAAGATATTTGTTAGTTTTTTGAAAGTGAAATAAGTTTTATTTGAAATACCAGTGCAGCTCCTCAAGATGAACTGAACGAACTGTGATTATATGACATGGAAAGAAAAATATTTTAAATTACAGGAAAAGTGGGAGCATTCTTTGAAGAAGCAAAAAAAGTATTTGCGAAAAAGTGCTCATGTTTTAAAAGATTTTTAGATGTGGGCAACAAATGTCTGAGGTTGTTTCACAAATTACTTTCACCGCATGCAAAGCAATCGAGGGATCACTTCCGTTAAAAAAATATGTGAAAAGAAAATAATTATAGATCAGTTCTGCGAAATATTGACACTTAGAAAATTACAAGGAAAAGAATACCCGCAACATCAACAAATCGGAGAAACAAATCAGAGAAATCGGAACTGCATTTTTCACAAAAATGACCAACACCCATACATTTTCCCCAATGTACGTTTACTGTACGTGCTTTACTGAGTGAAGGAAGTACTGCTACGCTGACTGACTCTTCGATTGCAAACAGAAAGGACGAGTGTCCCAGATATTTCTAAGTGTTGTGAATAGACGACGGAGGAATTTGTTGTTATAATAAAATTCACAATTAGTTCATATGGAAATATCAGGCAAAATTCTTCCTCATTTTATCACCCTAACAGTATGAAAACTTTAGATATCTTCGAATCATCAGAGCAGATATGCAATTTGGAGTAAATACTCGAAAAATTACCATTCATTCATAACAAGTTTCTACGGATTCAAACAAGTTAAATTATGAATTGGACAGAATAATGGTGATCTCATGATATCTGAGCAAGGGATCCAAATATATTTTGTTGATACCATTCTGTCAAAGACAAGAATTTAATGAAAAATTCATGGTTTCACGGGAAATAATTTAATGAACAATTCATGATTCCACGAAACAAAGCAGCAACGTTGAAAAATATCCCTTGTTTGCTACGAAATAAAATAAAGATTGTAAATCTTGTGAAAATCTTCTCTAAAATGAAAATTCGTTGTTCGTCCATAGACCAGCCATATAAACAGCTTTGTCAATAGTCACTATATCGATATGATTTCCGAAATGACAGTACAAAGTGGGACTCATTTGGAGGGATTGCATTCCAGAACTTTTTGAATCTCAGAAAATGTACACGCAAATATTATTTTGTTTGAAAAAGTGTCTGAAGAAATAAATGTATCCACACAGCATACAGCATCGAAATGGAAAAACATTTTGGAAAAAAATATACAGTTGCTGTATGTTTTCAAGACTCAGCAAAATTCGAGCTGGTCTGATTTTCACCTCATTTACCAGTTATAAATCCGAATAAACCCGAAATCTGCGGGTTGCCTTTGACTCGGTGGCAAAAAATCATGAAATTTCATTGGACAACTATTTACACTCAACTCCACATAATCGCAACCGATGAATGATTCTCCTTCTCGGTGAAACTAAGAGGCCATTGAAAGTTCCCATTGCTGAGCACAAGAAACACACACAGCGAGGAGAAACCAGCAAATCCGGAATAGCAGAGCATGTTTGGACTCATCAACATAATATCAAATGGGCTCATTATTTTCTGGTTGTAGCTGGTATGTTAAGTCCTTGTAATTCCAGTTTGTTGTTCTGATAAAATTGTTATTGTGGGTTATTCTTTTTATTTTTTTAAGGGATTTCATATCAATTTATATTATATTAGACAATGAAAGTCCGAACTGATGAAATACAGCATGAAAATCACTAAACGGTATACATTTTTTCAATGTTCTCTCTGACAAAATATGGAATACGCTGAACCATCCACAACTTTGAAAAATGACAGTTGTGATATTTGGTTTGACAACGTGACAAGATGATCAGTGATCAGATGCAATTAACCATCATTACTATGTGGATAATCACCTCGAGATGGTTCATGATGGGAAAAGATATCTGTATGATAAATCAAGTTATTAATACTAATTATGAAGGAGAAATCGAAATCAGAATTTTCATTTCAAGCCAGTAATGAAGTTGATTCAAAATCAAATCATTGAGTAATTTTGTGCATGATATCTGTTTTTGTAACTGTAGAGTAGGGAGGATGAGTGTAGACTCACAACACTTAGGCCACATGTGACCCATTGTACCTTCTCCCGAGGAGTTGTTCTCCTAGATCATCGCCCGTCCTGCCCTATCCAGGAAGGTAAACAGGTCACTAGGAGACATCTCCTTTATCTTGGCAGGTGTACGTCAATACACACACTCTCTTTGGCAACCTTGAGATGTCTCAGGGTGGCCTCGTTGAAGGTTTTGGAAGGAGCGGCGATATTACTGTCGTTGCACGGTTTCTTCAACCTTCTTGGGGATCCCTTCGTGGAGGTGCACAAGTGAGGGAGCTTTTCTGCAGGGGCAGCCGGTTCCTTGCCTTTATCCAAGGTGGAGCTCGTGGCGCCCGCTGCAGGAAGTTCCCCGGCTGTTGGAGGTGATCTACTATGTCCAGCCTCATTCCAAGCAGTATATTGGGGTGGACATTTCTGTTCATCCCCAACCACCGCCTCAGATTGAGGTGAGCCCTTCTGTCCAGCCTCAGGATTGGTTTTTGTTTTTGTTGTTTCTGTTTTTGTGTTATTTCATTCATTGTGTTTCCACGAGTAGCAAGGAAAGAGTTGGTCACCACTGGCGGAGCCCCACTTTACCAGAAGTAGGCTGATTACAATGAGGTTCGCTCAGTTCCTCAAGGGAATCATTCGTAACCGCATATCACCCTGCGGCCATTCAGCTGTCGGCACGATTCCTTACACCTTAGCTTGTGTAGACTGGTCCACAGTGGCATGTTTTGCAAAGGTTGTTGTGGGGTTTTGGTTTCCCCCACCCTACTTATTTCTGCCACTAACCAGGAGTACCCCGTCCTTGAAGCCACATTGGCTTCCCGGACAGGGCCTTCAGTCCCCTGGCCGTTCCCCCATTCGCCACCTGGGGACGCGTCCGATAGGTAGCCCAACCTACGGGTGCATGATATGGAAACCTATTGTTTCAGTTTCTTTCAATTTCTAGAAAAATCATCGAAGGAACTACAAAGCTGTCATGTCTGTCTATGATTTTTTTTAGTTTTTTCCATATATTGGTAGAATGGGTTGATCATTTTGAAATTCCAAGATACTATTCTAAACAATTCAGTGAACCCAAAACTAATGCTAATGTCAGCAACCTTGTGAAATTAACCTTCGATTCGTCTAAACAAAATCGATTCAATTGAAATTCTTCCGTAGAAAACTATTGTACCTAGTTTTTGAAGCCAGCGTTTTCTAATTGACCTGCAAAATCAGAAAGCTCTGTACTCTATCAGTACTATTATATAAGAATAATACTGGGACTTCAAAATATAACTCTCGTCCTTGCAGTTAACGCACGTACCTCTGATGATGTCTGCCTCAGTGGCAGCAAAACGTTTGGTACTTAAAGTACTTAAAGGTTTACTAGCCCGGATTTTGTTATTTTTGACATACCAATATTTTGAATGATTATTTTGCGTTCTAAATGGAAAAGGATGATCAAACTTTCGGAGAGAACGAAGTAATTATAATCAATGAACCAAAGATTCCAAAGAGAATATAAGCACAAAGAATCATCGATCACATTTAAAAATTTCTTTTCAATGTGGTGAGAATTGTACATATGAGAACATCCCAGGATATCTACAAGAGATTTGTTGAAAGATTTTATCGTCTGAGCCACATAAAAATAACAGAAAACGAGTTGTAGTTCAATTTTCACATATAGTGCATTGCCCCCCTTTTATTTTTTGAACGGGTCAACTCAAAAAATTGAAATTTGGGATAATGAAATTAATGTATGGATACTTTACTTTGAAGTGAAATTGCCAGATGAAACTTTCAATATCGCGAATGAGCGCCTTCGGGAAAAAAATTGAATGGAAAGGGGGGTCTTGTGATACTTCTTTTTGAAGCTCCTGACAAGACAAATGCTTCACAAGCCTAGAATATAATGTCAATTTATTCAACTACTACAAAATGACGGAACTTTTAATAATTGCCTGAATACATTGACATTTAACTACATAATATGAGGTAATAAGCTTGAGCTCAGTTCAGAAGATGCTCGAAATGGTTTCTTTGAACTTCTTGACATATGAACAGCCTATCCGATATTTCACGCTGAACATTTTTGAACACAGTAACGTCAATATGTCAACAAATATTTATTGTTCTCACTTCGCTGTGATGAGAGGGTGAACAGTACTTTCCAGCATATTCAAATACAGTTCCCCTGTTGAATTTTGATCAATAAATGGAGGTCCTACAATATGGTTTCCCAACATTCCTGCCCAAACGTTATTTTTTTCTGGATATTGGGTACGTATTTCCCGGAAAACGTGAGGGTTGGTGTGACTCCAATAACGGCAATTTTGTCTGTAAACATTAACTTTTTAAAAAAATGTACATTCGTTATTACAATAAATATTGTGGAGATAGGTAGGATGCCTTGCAATGGTTTTCGTCATGATTTCGCAGAATTCTGTTCTTCGATAAGGGTCATCTTCAGTTAATTGGTGTACCATTTTAATTTTATATGAATGATACCTATTTCTCTCTAAAAGTCTCCACACAGTAGAAGGAGACACCTCACAAATATTCGCGACGAAATAAATAGACTGTTCAGGATTTACTACCATCTCACTAATTATTCGCACTTGCTGGACGGATGATCGCTTTTTGTTAGGTATGTACATTACCGGTAGTTGTGCTTTGGATACAAGTTTTCTCGAATATTTTTTACCGATAGGACGATTCGGAAGAAGTTCATTGGAAATACTTTCTATTTCGTAAAAGTTACGCGTCACACCGTAAATAAAAATCGCTTCAATTTTTTCTTTCAATGGACGAAAATTAACCATTTTAGAGATTGTATCAATATTAATGTGTTTGTCTCCCGGAAATTATTAAATGTTCCGCCATTTTGTAGTAGGTGAAGATATTGACTTCATATTCTANATAAATCCAACAAGAAGGGAGTTACCCGTTTTCCGAAAAGATCAAGAATTGAAACAGGGCGACTTTGATCATTATACAAGCAGCAATGGCATATATACAGTCAAATGGAAGGATAAACGTTGCGTACATCTGATTTCGAACTATCATCAATCAAATGAAGTGACTAAAGTTAATCGTAAAACAAAAACAGGAGTTATCCAAGAAGTTCCCTGTCCAGCCATTCTATCTGATTACAATGCTCACATGAATTCCGTTGATAAGTTGGATCAACTGAAAAGTTGTTATGAAATCGACAGAAAGTCAAAGAAATGGTGGCATAGGATTTTCTTTCACTTTTTAGATGTATGTATTGTTAACGCATATGTTCTACATAAGCAACTGGATGCTTCTTCCAAATTAAGTATGAAAGATTTCAGACGTGAAGTAATCACTTCATTGATATCACACACAAAAATATGTCAAAAAGAAAATGGTCAGATGCCCTCGAAACCTATACAAATCAAAAAACATAAGCCGTATGTTCCCCCAGAAATAAGACATAGGGAAAATGCCCATATGCCTGTATATGGCTCAAGAAGAAGATGTGCACACTGTAGCACCAGAGAGAAACAGATACGTACCGACTGGATGTGCGAAACCTGCAATATCCCATTATGTTTATCTAAATCTAAGAATTGTTTTTCTGATTATCATAATGTATAACGAAAGAAACTGAACGAATTAGAGAAATATATATTATGTGCTGCTAAGGTATATTTCGCAGTGTTCGCTCTGTGCCTCAAAGAGTTAAAGAAATGCACTGTATGGTTGATAATATTCTGCATTTTTTCCAAATATTTTTTTAAGGCATGAATATATTATTCACTCGAGCTTCGCTCGTAACTTGAATTTATGTTTTCATTGAAATAATTCTAGGTTATTAGTTTTCACCTTCTTTTGGAATATAAGTTTTTGTATTTTCATAGAGACAAATTATATACTCATTATCTTCAACAAGGAATAATCAGCCAAAAGATGTGAAAAAACCAATACTGACCTTTGCGATTCGGTGAAATTTTCCAGTTTCTCCAGCAGGGAGTTATCCGTTGATAGGTGCTCCTCAAGTTTGTCTGTGAAACAAAAGAACATAATATTATTAATGTAACTGATAAGTGTCTAGACCAAAGCTCAGTTAATATAACTTCACGAATCTAGTTTCTACCGAAATAGTTTTGGAAGAGTAAAGATAGATGGAATGCATAACCGTAAGCAAATGTCTTTTAATAAATTGATGGATGTTGCCGTTACTCTGTGGTGAAAGATCATCATGGAAGATGAGAAATAAAAACTTTCATTGTTTTCATACCACTTGTATTTATAATTAACGTTACTGCAGTTTCTTACTATGAGGACATTTTCAAACGGATACAATAAAGTTTATTGCATTAGATTTTGGATAACAATTGTGATTGAGTGCTCGAAAATACTTAAAATATTGACAGTGGCATACTGTGATCGTACACTGAGTCAGAAAAATGTATAGAAGTGATACAGGCTTTTTACAGAAGGTCGAGAAGATGTGAATGGTGACACTGACCCTGGATGCCCCAGCACATCAACAATAGATGAAAATGTGGGGAAACTGAAAAAAAAAATGTATGTAGAATCAACCAATTTATGGCGTGTGTATGACGATAATGCACCTGCTCACTCGTTATTGCTTGTTCATAATTTTTTGACGTAAAACAACACCAAGATCCTTAACCATCGTATTCACCAAATTCGGCCATCTGTGACTTTCTCCTGTTTTCAAGATTGAAGAAATTCGTGAATGGACGGCATTTCGTGACAACTGAGATGATTTGAAACCGAATTGCTCTGAGAGCTCAAAGACACACCAAAAAGTCCATATAGGAACTGCTTCGATGATTGGAAAAAACGCTGGCACAAGTATATTATATCTGATGAGGACTACTCTGAAGAGGACAAAATAGAAATTGATGGTGCAGGAACTTAACAGAGTGCAATGAAGGCCCCAATATCTTGTCGCACTCGAGTAAATCTCAAACATTTCCTGTTAGGATTCCTTATCATGAAGAATGGGAAGTACTTAACTTTCATTAAAATTGGATGACAACTACTTTTTCAAAGTATACTAGCGATACGAATAGCGATACTGGCGATACGAATTTGAAATACCAAAAGTGTATACAAAGTGTAATTATCAACACCCAGTTTAATGAAAGCTCACCTTTCAGTTCAGGTTGCAATTGTGAACGGATAACTTCCTTCAAATCAGGATGCAAATTTTCATACCCCCCTTTAAGATGAATATCGAATAGTTTTGTCAGTGTGAACTCGTCGTCTTCTCCCTTTTCATCCAATCCAAAACTGCCAATCTTCTCATTGCCCTAGAAGGTTTAGAATATATCAGGTGAAAATTTTAAGTGTAACCAAAGAGGCCATAATAAAAAAGCAAATAAAATCATTATGGAGAACAAAATTTCGGCTGAATGAAGCCTGAAGTACCAAAAGTTTCGTCTGCTACTGCAGCAGATATCATCAGTAGTATACGCGTTGACTGTGAGGACGAAGTAGACGAAACGTTTGGTGTTTCATTTTCTATTCTATTCGATTTTCTTCACTCCAATCGTGACCACGGTTGTGAAAGCTTATTATACTATACTTATTAGCTTATCATATTATACTGAGATTTTTATAATGAATATTGTCAGATATGGAAGACCGTCATGAAATAATTCAAATCCATTCTAGCAAATTCATGAATTGAATGACGTTTCAACCTCAATTTCAATAATCTGAAACAAAAACACTCCGTTTTCACAATTCCATAATTTAATATATCAAATTCATAGACATCAAAATTTCAGGATATATAAATATAAAATAATCTCCAAATAGTTACTCAAATTTGTACGGAAACGCATTGAGAATTTTGCCTTAGTACGGTGACCAGAGCAAAGTTTCAACTTCTGCATTATAAATCTTTATACAGCATATTGAGGAAGGTCAAGATCATAGCGTATTCTTTGCTACTTTGAATTTTTGTATGTTCAGGAGATTACTCACTATTGTACTGTTGTTACTGTATTGTATTGTATTGGATTAACTTCTTACTTCGAGTAGTTAAATGGAATTAAAAAAATTCGAAAGAATTTTTTCTTTCGTGTAATTCAATGATTATATGAGAGTAGCTGTTTCAGGAGGACTTTCTTTCAGTTTGTGTCTGAAAGTTACTTCTTTGCATGATCTACACATCCATGTATAAAGTTACTTTCTTGCTTTCTTTTTTTTTTGTATCAAGATGGAGTAGTAGAAAGCCAAAAACTTTCTTTCCCAAAAATTAATCACTCCTAAAAATATAACCCCTTCAATTAAAATATGTAATTCTGAAAAATTAATGAAATTCAGTTGTGGTTGAAGAATGAATATTCTAGGTTTCACTTCATAAATGTAAATCAAAACGTTGGGATGTGGAATCTCATGATCCAACTGAATTTGAACTAAATCCAGAAATTATTCTTCTACTTCACAAGTACCATTTACCATTGTTTCAGTTCGCCTTCATTGGATATTATAATGGGGGTGCTATTTCATTCGTTATTTCATGCATAATAACAATGATTAAAAACTTATTAACAATTCTGAACAAAAACCTTTGTAATTTTTGCAAACAAGATTCCTGTGTCTTGGATTGAATCAAATGAGCGGAAGAATGACATTACGTACTGTCGTCGGAGTGGTAATGTTATGATCCATAATGCGATATTATACATATTAGTGCTGAGTGTCTCATTCCGAAACATCGATGTCCGCCAATAAGAAAGTGAAATTTTACTTCTATCATATACTGTATAGCAATATTGCAATACTGTATATATTGTATAGCAATCCTGTGAATGATAACTTATTCGATTCCATAACACAATCTGAATAGAAAAACTTGTTTTTTGTTCATTCAGTGTTCATAAAAAAAGATATTTGTTTCGAAAGTATTTTTCTTTCATGTAATTGAATGGTAATATGAAAGCATTTATTTCGAGAAGGCTTTTTTCCAGGTTGTGTTACTGATAGTGTTTGAAACCTGTTTGGAGCCTTTCGTGTAGTAATGAATATTACTGGAGTTTTTTTCCAACACCAAACCGTTATTTCAACACCTCGACACCTAGGTGATCATCTTCTTCCGGACTAATATGTTATAAATTGATTCAAAATCTCTGAAAGCATCTGTAAAAAATTAAAAAGATTGGCTGAAAAATAACAATAACATTAAGCAAAATACTGAAATTACAATTAGAAAACTTACAAGCAACAACAAAAAAAAAGAACTATTAACACGAGCTGAAAATTAAAAAATTATTGACAAGAAATGCAAATTAAAAATTGAAAGATTCCAAACCAAGTTACTTCACGATGTTTCGACGGTTAGTATTCATAATCGTCTTCGGGTGATAACAGTTATCACCCGAAGACGATTGTGGATACTAACAATCAAAACGTCGTGAAGTACCTTGGTTTAGAATCTTTAAATTTGTAATTTCTTGTTAATGATTTTTTAATTTTCAGCTCGTATTGATAGTTAATTTTTGTTTGGTTGTTGCTAGTCTATTTTTTCAAAGTGATTTCAGTTTTTTGCTCAATATAATTGTTATTTTTCAGCTAATCTTTTCAATATTTTACAGATTCTTCCAGGTATTTCAAATCAATTCTGAGTATATCAGACAATGGAAGAATGTAATGGTCAGGTAAGTCTAATGAATAACAAGCTATATAGCTATATAGTATAGTATAGAATCTATAGATATAGGTCCACCATCGTTATTCATAATATTATTACGTTTACTTATTTCTACAAGTGTGCCAAGTGTTCCTCATATCTTATTTTGATAGATCTTTTTGTGTATCGATAATATTTCGCATCGCAGTCCCTACATTTAATTTCGTAAATTCCAGATTTGTCCTTGCTAAAAGTCGAGATTTAGTTCATTCTTAACCCAAACTTTTTCTTTCTTATTATGTCATCTACAAGTCGAGAAACCTTTACTGGCTGTTACTTCGTGTATTGTACGTTTTTCTTTTGTGAACCTCTCATGTGTCAAAAAAAAAGTCAAAATAGAAAATTCAACACAGTACGTTTGTACTGTCCGCAGTGATGTAAAATGTCAGGAATATATATGTACGTGCTTGTTTCCTTCCTAAATACATCGTATCAAAATACGATATGAAGAATATGAATAAAGACACATCTTGAAGGTATTTGAATTTGGAAACCAATTATTGCGCTTCTTCTGCCATCTCATCCAGATACGATTACGCATCACAAGAACATGCTTCCACCTTGATGAATTACACCTTGATGAATCTATTTTTTTGAAAGGTTCAAGTAGAACTTCGGAAGGAAATCATCTGGGATCGAATCAGTATCATGACTCATTCGGCGAAGAGTCTGCACTCTGCAATGAGTCCTCAGTTAGGGTAGCTAATATATTGAATCATTCGAAAATGGGGGTTAACTCTCCAACTACTCTTTTCATGTCAGGTTTGAAACTTCTGTCTGCTGGCACGAAGGGATATAGAGGATTGGAACATTTTTTCCTTAATTGAAGACCTGGCTATTTGATCTGGCTATATACTGCAGTAAGCAAATCCTCCAATTCTATTGCAGTTCTACTTTAAATAGTAGCATTTCAAACAGAACTGGAAAATAAATCCCCTTCGAAACTATTACTTTCACATAAATGTTGAATTACACGAATGAAAAAAGACTTTTGAAACAACTACTTTTATATGAACATGTGCAATTATAAACAGATACTTTGATATGTTTCTTTTAATTTTTGGTAATCAGTTATAAACAAATGCATTTTCATTGGAATAATTGATGTTTTCTTTGATCTGATGATCAGATAACTGAATAATAATTTTGACAGAAAACGCATAAATAATTTTTCCCTAGGAATGCATTCATCATATACCTATATTTTCAACAGTAAATGTCAATATTCAGAAACAATTTTTTTGTGATGCACTGTTTGAAACCTTTGATGTGGTAATGAATATCACTGGAGTTTTATCCCGACACCAAACCGTCATTTCAACAGCTCGACACGTGTTAAGATCATCAAGTGATCATCTTCAAGAGACAGATCAAATGAAAAATTATCATTTGGTGATCGAAACACATGTCGAGGTGTTGAAACAACGGTTTGGTGTTGGGATAAAACTCCAGTAATGTTAAACTTTTTTTGAATCGTCACTTTTACCGCTCTATTTGTTCAATTAATGAACCATTTCTAATAAGCAAATTATTTCACTCTATTTTCTCACTGATAAAGAAATTCATCATGTGATGCACTGTTTGGACCCTTGGGTGTGGTAATGAATATTTCTGGAGTGTCAAACCAATACCAAACCGTTATTTTTAACACCTCGATACGTATTTCAAAAACCAAGTGATCATCCTAAGGGGAAATATTAAGAAAAATTCATAAAAATAATCAGGGTATTGACAATGTACATCCGTCGGATCTAATGGAATTATCTTTTTGTTCAAAATAATTTTCCATATGCCATGGTTGGGTGAGACTAAAACCGACGTCCAAAGCGCCTTTAGTAATATCTAATATAAAATGTTTTTGCCATACCAATAGAATTTAGTGGCGTTCAATACCAAAACTTCCTGAAGAATATTTTGGATTTCCACTTCTACATCTTCATACAAAGAAGGGGGAAGATGGCAATCAATTTTAAAAATGGTAACTCTATACAAAGATGTGTAGATGATACAAAGAAATAACTGTCAGAAGAGCCCTCTTGAAACAGCTACTTTCATATGAATATTGAATTTCACGAAAGCAAAATACTTTCGAAACTAATACTTTCATATGAACACTGAATTATACAAAAAACTCTTTTATCTATGCAATTTGTCTTCTGAACATTCATTATGGAATTGAATCAGATATCATTCATAGAATCGCTACACAATATAGTAATTGAAAGAGGTGCCATTTCACTTACATGGAATTCAGTCATTCTCACTGTTGGACATCCGATGTTTCGCCGTGAGATACTTGCCTTATCGGCTTTCCAAACCAAATCTGGATAACATTTTGGAATAAACACTAAATTCATGCATGAAAATACGACTTTATGTCGTGTAGTGAAGGAAAACAATATATCACCTCTGAAAAACATGTTCCAAGAGATGAGGTATTATTACTACCAATGATAGTTTCAGTTTTCGTTTGATCTTGGTTGAAAATGGTCACTTGGTGATCGACACATGTATCGAGATGGTAAAAAACTCCAGTAATATTTACCAATAACAATGACAAATTGACTTTTTACCAGGCTCTCTTACTTGCCCCAATTCGTGACTCAACTTAATTCTGCATAGGTTCACGAAAGACTTACCACTCGCAGGTTATACAGGTAAAAACTCAAGACCACCAGACGAAAGAAAATATAAAGAGAAAAAGATAAGAGAATCGGAATAGCGAAGCATATTCGGAAATAATCTGGTGATCACATTTGGTCGAACAGTAATTGTCACCAAGGAACACGATCAAATGAAAAATTCCACAGGTGATGAATCGTACCTGGTTTCCATCACCAAAACAAGATGTTGAAAACGGAAAAATGTGAACCTTAACTGTCGTGCTAGAAGTCGCACGTTAAAAGATAAGACCTCGTTAGTTCTTAGCTCGCACGTGTTTCGACTTCTAAGAGTTGCTGAGAAAACACATTTCAGCAGATTTTCTGCAGAAGATATTGATCACACGACTCAGACTTGGAATATATGTACATGAAATTCATAAATATTTCTTGATTCAACAAATCCATTTGATACAGGCTACCACATGTTGTCAAATCACTTAGACTTTGAAATCTAGAAAACTTGGTCATGAAAGTGAATGTAAACTACATAAAAGATCTTGTTCTCTCACAGAACATGTTATTGATGGAAATCATGTATTCATCCATATTTTTCTTGATTCATCAGAAACATTTGTTACAATCGTGGTTTCGCGGAGTTTTCGTGGAGTTGTTCTAGATTATACTCAACCAGCACAATTCAATAATCAAATGAAAACTCAATTGAAGAGATAGTAATCAAATATAGAGTATCCAAAGGTTCTATGTTGGATCCAATATTGGTAATTATTTAGCCTAATGATTTATATCTTTTAAAATCTGGAGGCAAAGTCAATTTTTCTGCTCATGATATAGTCAGTAGACATACGGCCGAAACTTTAGACAATTTGAATGAAAAAATTGAATCAGATTTCATTATGATGGTTTGATGAATATCTGTTGATAATCCATTTTCAGAAAAAGATTTTTTCAAATTTTGTTTGTAGAAATTCTCCGTTGCATTTAGGAAACTCTACTCAATGTCGCAATAAAACCAGTTGATTATATTCAATAATTGTACCACAAACCCACAAACTATATAGTGATTATAGTTTTGTTTTGATTTCCAACTTTACTGTTATTAGCATTATTGTTATCAATTGAATGAAAAATATGAAGTTTCTGATTCCAAGAATGTGTAGATAATGATTTCAACGCGGAATAGAAGATTCTTAAATGTTAAAAATTTTTTTTGACATCTATAATTTACATATCATGCTGATATTTTCAAGTGTTCTCAATTTAGAAATCTGATTATTTCATTCACGATTGAAAATTATACTTTTTTTTATATTTAGGATCTGAGATAAAAGACTAGGTAATTTTATTTTTTACCTTGATGCGGGCTGAATTTGGAATAGAACACAAAAACGCACCAAAAATTGAACACAAAATCAGACCGAGGGTCAACATGATGCTGCGGAGATCAATGAACGGAATAAACTCATCTTCGAACGGAAACTTTTGGAATATCGTTGGAAGGAAATAACTTCGCAGTGACTATACCACAAGTTTGCCCGCAAAATCCTGTTTTCGTTCATTAAGGAAACGAAGACCGTTATCATATCGAAATTGAGAGTATATTTCTGAAAACCAGATATATTTATTCTGAGAATTCACTGTAATGGATGTGAAAACTGTTTTATCGTGTTTAATAAAATTTTCTTTCGTTCTCATATCTATACTCAAAGTATATGTTAATTACTGGTCATATAACTGTTGAGTTCATGACTGTGTTCAATAATAATGTGATCAAGGCAATTCAGAGTTTTACAGCGCCTTCAATGAGACAAACAAAAAGAATCTTGGGAATCCTTCTAGTAACTTAGATAGTTCATTGTAAAAATTATTCAAGAAACACTTTATTTTGAGATTTCCACTGAACAGTTTCACACAAACGCCGCAGGTGTTTCGCTATATAATGGCTTCTTTAGGCGGTATGGATTTTCATCAAGTAACGATCGATTTCATCACATATATAGTAATTATCCCTGGAGAATGTTGAACTGATCAATTTTTCTTGTACTTGAAGTGGATCAAACTATTCTGTTTCGAATTATTCGTAATCAGCCAGTCTGAATATTTCCATATTTTCTAATAGCAGGAGATTCTTATTTATTTGTTTTTTCATTCATAAAGAAATTGTTTTACAAACTTTAAATATTGTTTCAGTCAAATATATGGAATGGTATTTTTATAGTTCAAATGTGATTTTTAGAACCGGTATAACTTTTTATCAACAGATTGAGATAAGTCAAACACCAAATTTTAAGTAAAGCTTTGCACAATGTATTAGTGAAAACTGCTCCAAAATCGGCTAAGCCGTTTTTGAGATTAGCGGTGACAAACGCATAGACAAATGGATGAAAATTCTGAAATTCACTGTTTTGAGTTCTGTTAAGTTCTAAAGACTTCCAAAAATAGCTCCTTTTCAAATGTCTTTCATGTACAGACAGTGATCTATCAGTACATTGGTTAAAACATTTCTAAAGTTGAAATGAGAAAACGAATAACTGAACATTTTAAAATATTCTGTACCTATTGCCGAAACTTTGATCGCGTTGAATTTCCGAAATTCTGGAATACCAGAACTGCGAAACTTTTTTCGGTGAAAGTTTCTCAAACCAAGTTGGCATGTTCAGGAGATGAAGAAAAATAATTCCCAACTCTGAAAATGGTCTTAAATCTTATATGTAATAGGATACCCTTTCACTTTCTTACACACGTCAACGATTTTGGGGAGGAATTTGCGGACAGTTTTCTCGTGTAAGATCTCGCTAATTTCACCGAATTGATTCATAAAAAAGTAAACAATGACTGTTTGTAATGGAACCTTTTTTACTGTTCATGCCACACTTTGCTATTTTCGAACTTTCGAAAGTAAAAGTATCCTAAGTTCTTGCCTCATAAATCGATCTCAACAATTTTAAACAGTTTGCGACACCATATTTTTTCATTCTCGTAATTGGATATGTGCTGCACTATCTTTGGAGCGAATTTTAATGGTTCGCTTAGTCTGACCAATATATGTGTGTAACATTCATGTTTACTATGAAAATGTATTATTCCAATTAACTGTTTGAAAATGTAACAAAAAAATTAATGATTATCGAAACGTGTATAACGAGTATTTCCGACTTTTAAGGCTATAACTGCTTCAACTCAGTGAGGTATACTCAAAATCAAATGTGAACAAATGTATTTTGATCGAAGGAATCCATTAGTGTGGAAGGAATTGATATATATATATATATCCATGGCATATTCATAGCATAATACAATATCCCTAAATGTATATTCATGAAATATACCTGGAATATCTATCGCTATGTGGGCTGACAACAGTGGAGAAAAAAAGGTGTTAAGAAGCAAGTGAATCTTTACACTTTCCGAAATTGATTTACTCATTCGTTCTATAAAAAAATGGTTCATTCATCAGTTAGTAACTCCAAAATACTTTCATCTCGAAGGAAAATCGAAGTTTCAAAAATGACTGACGTCACTTCTATTGAGACTCACCCTCCTTTCCACAAATACGTAGACTAATGCATATATGAAAAACTATAACGAAATTCCAGAAATGAAATATTCGTTCCGTGATATGAAATGCTTCTTTATCTCGGAACTAATCATCAAATCGATCTCAAGTTGACAATATCGCATGCACAGCCAGTACAACAAGAATACAGGAAGAAGAAGAACATTGAATTGTGCAATATGNAGACAGTGATCTATCAGTACATTGGTTAAAACATTTCTAAAGTTGAAATGAGAAAACGAATAACTGAACATTTTAAAATATTCTGTACCTATTGCCGAAACTTTGATCGCGTTGAATTTCCGAAATTCTGGAATACCAGAACTGCGAAACTTTTTTCGGTGAGAGTTTCTCAAACCAAGTTGGCATGTTCAGGAGATGAAGAAAAATAATTCCCAACTCTGAAAATGGTCTTAAATCTTATATGTAATAGGATACCCTTTCACTTTCTTACACACGTCAACGATTTTGGGGAGGAATTTGCGGACAGTTTTCTCGTGTAAGATATCGCTAATTTCACCGAATTGATTCATAAAAAAGTAAACAATGACTGTTTGTAATGGAACCTTTTTTACTGTTCATGCCACACTTTGCTATTTTCGAACTTTCGAAAGTGAAAGTATCCTAAGTTCTTGCCTCATAAATCGATCTCAACAATTTTAAACAGTTTGCGACACCATATTTTTTTTATTCTCGTAATTGGATATGTGCTGCACATCTTTGGAGCGAATTTTAATGGTTCACTTAGTCTGACCAATATATGTGTGTAACATTGATGTTTACTATGAAAATGTATTATTTCAATTAACTGTTTCAAAATGTAACAAAAAAATTAATGATTATAGAAACGGGTATAACGGGTATTTCCGACTCTTCAGGCTATTACTGCTTCAAATCAGTGGGGTATACTAAAAATCAAATGTGAACCAATGCATTTTGATCGAAGGAATCCATTAGTGTGGAAGGAATTGATTCAGTAATCTTAGACCCTGAACAGCAGGTGTAAAGATAATTTGTGCCCTTTCGAACATGTTCTAGGAATGTTCAATGCAGTTATTACCTAAAGAGAGCAGGGACAATGGCAAACCAATAATTTCATTGAATTTAGCCGTTCTTGAGCAAACCCGGTTTTGTTCGGGCGAGCGTTATCATCCAGAAATCTGAAATTGCATTCCACATTCCAACGATAGTCTTTCACTATGCTATCAATGATTTCGCAGGCACACATTTCAGCTCTAATTCACCTCCGTAGAAAATTTCATTTCAGACCGTTATACCTCCAACTCCACTTCTTACATCGGCCATTAACCCTTAAAATTTTTTGTCTACAGAAGGTGAACAATAATGTTTCTCTACAGTCATCTTTTTCAATAATGTGCAACCATATTGAACATTAACGTGGGTACAATTGCATCACTGGTTGCCTGCAGCAGAGGTTGCGCAGTAAGCGCTTCTCGCCATAGGCTCAGCCTCAATTGACCCATTTCTACTTCAAGGTTCACATCAGCCGTGTGCAATCGTAACATGGCCATTAACGCAACCTCCTTAACGTACATGTCCTGAGGAGACAGACCAGTAATTAATTCCATTGCCACGGTTGGTGTTATTCTCATGCTCCTGTGATGTTCAAACAAGCCAGACGTTGTATTTGATATAATTTTCGGATGCCGTTGCTTGTAGAACTTTCGGGGGGGGATCAATCCCCCTTGATCCCCTCCCTGGCTATGGCCTTGGAAAGTATCTTAAGTGCTTGCCTCATAAATCGATTTCAACAATTTTAACAGTTTGCGACACCAAATTTTTTGGATTCTCATATGAAAATGTACCATTTCAATTAACTTTTGACTTCTCTTTGAAAATGTAACAAAAAAATCAATGATTATCGAAACTAGTTATCAATAACGAGTATTTCCGACTTTTTAGGCTATAACTGCTTCAACTCAGTGAGGTATACTCAAAATCAAATGTGAACAAATGTATTTTGATCGAAGGAATCCATTAGTGTGGAAGGAATTGATTCAGTAATCTTAGACCCTGGACAGCAGGTCTAAAGGCAATTTGTGCCCTTTTGAACATGTTCTAGGAATGTGCAATGCAGTTATCACCTAGAGAGAGCAGGGACAATGGCAAACCAATAATTTCATTGAATATTAGCCATTCTTAGGCAACCCCGGTTTTGTTCGGGCGAGCGTTATCATCCAGAAATCTGAAATTGCATCCCACATTCCAACGATAGTCATTCACTATGCTATCAATGATTTCGCGGGCACATATTTCAGCTCTAATTCACCTCCGTAGAAAATTTCATTTCAGACCGTTATACCTCCACCTCCACTTTTCTTCCATTAACTCTTGAAATTTTTGGTCTCCAGAATGTGAACAATAATGTTTCTTCACAGTCATCTTTTTCATTAATGGACCACCATAAAAAATTATTAAGATTTTATTTTCATCACCAATTGTAACTTAAAAAACACATCAACCACACCAAATCAGGATATAACAAGATGAATAATCAAATTATTGAATATCAATGTTGACAAAAAAGATCAATTATTTTTTTGAACTTAATGTATCAATATTCTGATTTTTGAAGTTTTCGCTAAAACTAATAGATGCATTCATTTGAATAATGAGCAAGATTCAATTTGACAAAAAGTGAATTGAAAGGAATCAGTTTCTCAAATTCAATACAAATATCTCAACATGGTATTTATATTACTCAGACAAAGAAAATATCCAGTTAACTAGTTTAGTGATCCAATAATTTTTCTGAAGAAAGGTTGGTTGGTAAAAGGGTTATTTCGTTTCTTACATGTCGTTTCATGTTGGTGTTGTCTGGTAAGTTTGCCTGTTGCGATGTTTTTTATGTCTGATGGTTTTTGAAATAGTAATATTATCAAAACGTAGAAACTCCTTTTTGAGCTCTGATGAAGAATGAAATTAAATTGGAAACGTTGGCAGGAGAACAATTGTTTAAAAAAATTGATCCTGTTTCACCACCAACCTTTATTCAAAGAAATTATCTATTGAAGGAATCAAAATACCAAATTCAAACAATGTTCTTTTCAGTGTGAACAGTTTTAATGTATGTATTCAATTATTTTCTCTCTTTAAAAATATTCACTTCTTGTATACTGACGGAGAAACGAAGAAAGGTTTCACCAGTGAAATTTGGATATACATTTGAATTAAACGGAGTATATTTTCAGGAGAGATTAACTTTCGGCCAAGAAAAGGTTTTGGCCTTCTACTTCTCCATTTTTCTACAGAAAAATGTATGAATCTATTCATATCATCGATGACATGGGTATATTCAACTTATCCATGACATGAAGTCGTGATTTCATTATTAAATTGAGTGATTCATCTTGTAATGTTATCCCAATTGGTACTGAACACGTAATAAGGCAAGTGTCTTATTCCGAAACATCGATGTCCGCCATTGAGTATGTCAGTGTTCCATGTAAGTAAAATTTTATCTGTTTCATATAATTTATTGGGCAGCTATCATGTGAATGATATATGATTCAATTCCATAAAAAATGTTTGTAGTATAGACTGAACAGAAAAATATTTTTGTATGAATCAATGTTCATATAAAAGTAGTTGCTTCGAAAGTATTTCTGCTTTCGTGTATTTCTATGTTAATATGAAAGTAGTTGTTTCGAAAGGTCTTTTTCTTTCATTTTGTGTTCGAAAGTTACTTCTTTGCATGATATACCCATTTTTGTGAAGAGTTCATTATGAAATTGATTATTTTCTTTCTTTATTTGGAAGATTCTCACATTTTTTGTATGAAGGTGAAGAAGTATTGAACTCACATGTTCAGACATCTCTTGTTGTGTTTTCTGTTGAAATTCATTTTCGAAATTTTTATACATAACACGATTTTTATTAAATTTCAAGACAGATGTACAAGCAGAGAAGATTCAAATTCATAATTATTGTAATATCTGGATCATTCTGACTACAAAATGGACAGGCAAATTGTACTCCAACCAGAAAATTAGCACATATCTATAGTACAATTCCATAATAGTAGGTACTCATTATTGCATTAAACCGAAAACATTGTTGCAAAAACGTCAGTCATATCTGAGAATTGAGTGCCTACTATTTTGGAATTATAGTATTTCATAGTTCATATAAATATTGAACGAAATTCATTTTTTGTGGAAAAAAATCAGTTTGTCATCGACTGTTTTTGGGTATTTCTATCATCCACATTTTCTCAATGACAATTATAATGAAGAACTTCATGCAGATGTAGAAAGGGCAAACTTTTTAGTTCACTGCGTAAAATCAAAGTATTTTTCACAAAGAAATTTCTTCTATTTATTAGTAACTTGTCATATTTAATAATTTTGTGTATCAGAAAAATAACTAAGAAATAATACAATACTAATCTTAACGTATGAATAGTTTTGAATGGTTCATCTAAGATGAGTATTAAATATTTATTTCCTAAACGCAATTTTACTATTATTTCAATGTAACTGGCCGATCCATATCAAAAGTCATCAATACAGTTTACTGTGATTTTTGAATTGAAAGGTTTATACAACTGCCACACGTGTTTCACTACACAACAGCTTTCTCAACAGTGGTTAAGTGAACATTTCATATTTATAATCACAGTAGTAGTGAGTTTGAAGTATTTTTGCCCGAAAGGCAGTTTCTCAGTCTATGTTGACACGAGTATATAACATCAGTGATTATGATATAATCAACTTACTTCCACTACTTCGTGAAAATTCATATGGCTCAAGCGTTGATAAACAACATTTATACCTTTGTTTAATCCGTCCTTCATTGGCAACATTGCCAATATGACCTAGTTGAATGAATATTGCCGTAAAAATGGTGTATTGGTTGTTAAACAATTTATTTTGGTGAAAAACATTTATGATTGATAGATTACTATTCAACAACAAATTCATGAAAAATAAATCTGAACTAGATAAAACGTTTATGTACGGTATATATGAATTCCTTCTCAACATAATCAGACCGGTCTAATCAGCATCCTTGCTCTAGCATGGCAATATGGGAGTTTTCGAAACGATCTCCAGTGCAATCCTGAATATTGTTCCGCATCAGAAAGAACGACGTTCACAAATTTTCCATTGAGGCTACTTTCATAACATGATCCAAACCACCAAGCGGCTTCTAAAAAAGAAAAAAATATCAATCTACATCATACTGAAACGTTTTTTCTCAGTTCAATTTGAGGACAAATATTTCATGGTGTACCCGTGTACTGCATCTCGTTCGAAAGATTAAAATATTTGTATATCTGAAACTACTGAAACAATGCAGAAAATAGTATTTTTTAACTTGAATGTTCAGCTATTCAGCCAACCACTACTTAGTATTGTAACAATTGTAGTAGTTAGGATAGATCGGGACAAATGCTTCATTTTCATCACACTCATCAGTATGTGACACAAAAGTCTCACATAGCTGTCAACTATCATTTTACATTACCCGTATTTGAAAATGCGGGTAAAAGTTGGTATCTTCGATTAATTGATAAATAATCCGTTTATTCTTTTAGAATAGAATTATCGTTAGAAACATAATGTCTCTTTGATTTCATTGGGAAGTTCATTGCATATCCTGATTCCATTATATATCAACGAGTTTCGAACAAACCATGTTTTTGGAATTGGTGGATTCAGTTCATTTGACAGTCTTGTGTGGTATGTGGCTGTAGATACAATATTCTTCCTATTTTTATGTATAATCGATACAGTTTCCAATATAAATATTGAAATAACCGTAAGGATTCTATGTTCTCAAAAAATGGGTTTACATGAATCCCACGACTGTATAAGTTGTTTACTGCAAACACCTCAAAGTGGTATACCATACCTTAGATGACAGTCTATTTAGGCATACTACACCACTTTCGCTGAAGCAAACCCCAGTTCCTTCGAGATGTGTCTCAGTGCGAAACATCCTGATGCCAATTTTTTGTTGATGTGGGCAATATGTTGAAATAACTTTAAAGTTTTAGTCTCAATAAACTCCCAAACATTTCAAAGTGGAGTTATTTTTCATCTCATCTTTGTACGTATAACCTCAATCTTTGTGATTAACGTACATTCCAAGAATGGAACCTCCCGTATCCCAAATAGAAACAAATATGATGACTTAACTGTCTCCCTTTATACAGCTGATCTGTTTACAAGCAGATTCAAATTTCGTGCAAAAAAGAAAGAAATACGACTGGGTTATAGTATGTTGACTTTCCATTTTGTTCCAATTTATACTTTTATTCAGTTCATAATGAAGCTACAGCTTCTGAATATGTCACAAAAAACATTGAAATGAAACAAATTGATGAAGTGATAGTCAATACAATGAAAAATAAACCCTCAACATCAAATACACTGATAAAATGGTGATAGATAAGAGGTTTGTTGAGCACTCTGACATACACTCTTTGTTATGTCCTTGAGCTCTCTCAGTGATTCGGTTTTCATCTTCTTAATCGTCGCAGAACGCTATGCTTTCATGGGTTTCTTCAGTTTTGGGAATAGAAAAAAGTCGCAGGGAGCCAAATCTGGTAAATAGGAGGTTGAGGCATGATTACAGTGTTGCTTTTGGTCATAAAATTACAAACAGAATATAATGAGTGAGCAGGTGCATTATTGTGATGCAAAAGCCATGAATTGTTTCACCACAATACCGAACGATTTATTTGTATTGCTTTCTGCAAGAGGCATAAAACATCAAGATGATATTCTATACCAGAAACACTTCATTGTGAGATTTTCACTAAACAGTTCTACAAAAATCAAAACACTGTCTCACTATACGATAGCTTTTTCAGGCGTACCTATTCAGGCATGTATGGACACCTTTGAAGAATCTATTGAGTAGCAAAACACGTATTGCGTTATTGAAAAAAATGTTAATTGAAAATCTTATAATGGGGTGTTCATTGAATACTTTATGGATTTTCATTAAGTATCGGGCAATTCCGTCACATAAGATAAAACTCATTATTGACTGTACGAATATGTGACAAAAACTCCTGATGCACTACGCCACGGCACTTGAAGAAAACAGTAAACCCTGAATCTTAAAACCTCAAAATGAATGAACTTAAGAGAAACGACAATTGAAAGGGATATATTTCTAGAGGAGGTTAATTTTTCGATACAAAAAATATGTGGGAATCTGCCAAAGAAAGAAGGGAAGCAACCAATTTCAAAAAGTCTGAAGTTACTTCTTTGGATGATCTACACATCTTTGTATATAAGTACGATCATTCCCACATCAATAGCAATTTATGAGCCACGGGTAGACAGCTGATTCAGCCTATTCAGCATCGTCAGTACTGGGCTGGCGATCCTCGATTAAATATAAAATTAGAATAGTACTTATCTATTTATGTTTTGATTTTCATGTAATTATTTTCCAAAAGCTTGACTGCATTACCCTTTCTTGACTTCGTATTATTTTTAGAAACATGTGGATTCGTTTTACGATGGCATTCCATGATAGCTTCCCAAATTTCTGCTATCGCAATTGTCGGTTGATTGGTCAAACTACCAACACTGACTGAAATTTTGGCAAGTTAACACAATTGACAAGGGTGTCACACCAATAGGTGAGTCTATTTATGTCTCGCTTGTCGGTCTGCCGGTGACTCTCAAAATCAATAGGGGAATTATCAGAATGTTGCTCTATATATCTGTGTAGCTTAATTAATCTCTGCGAATGGCTTCATTCCGCACGAACCATGGAGCATTCACCAGCATCCTAAGAAGTTTGTTTTGCAATCTCTCCAGAATGGAGAGTTGAGTTTAGACTTTCGATTTATCAGAGAGTAGAGTTTGGCTATCCTCATTTGTACTCTGTCCTTGATGTGATTTACCCAGGTGAGTCGGCGGTCTACCCAAAGACCTAGGTATTTGACTCGCGTTTGCCATTCGATCTCCCTGCCTGAAATCGTGACCCTTGTATCTGGAGAAACGTTGCGCCTCCCCAAATCTATCGCCTGGGTTTTTTCTGGATTCACCCGAATCTTCCATTCCAGGTACCAGCGTTCGAGGTCGTCCAATGCGCGTTGCATGTAGACGACATTGGCCATCCTGTTAGCAGCAGTCTTGTCCCCAGGATAGAGGGTCCGCTGATGAACTCGTCGGTTCCTCTCCCGCATGAGATTCTTTATCCTGGGATGAAACTCATTATAGTTTCTCAGAGGACACCCCGTCCTAGTTGTGGCTGCGCTGAAAGCGTTGTTCACAGACAGTTCAAAATCTGCCACTGCCGCGACGAGACCGTTGCGAGTTTGAAGTGCCTCGCCGTCTGTAGGTGTCTCCACTAGATGAGCCTTGAAGGCTCATCTGCCCTAGGCTTTTTGCATTCACCTGAAAGGTGTCTGCCGGCGCACTTGACACAGATGGGAATGGCCAAGCAGTTCCTCTGTCTATGTCCAAACCGCTGACATCGATGACACTGTCCGACCAGTGTCCTCTGGTGTTGGGGCTCAACCTTAATTTTAACATCAAGGAGCTTCCGTTCGTCGTAAATATTCTTCTGGTTTTGGCTCACTTGAACCAAAACCAAAGGAAGCGGGCGGTTTCCACGCATCATTCTCGATACTGATGTAGGTTGGAAGCCCTTCTCCACCAAGGCGTCCTCGATGTCCGCCGTCTCCAGGTGTTCTGAGACTCCTCTGAAGACGGCTCTAAGTTGCCTGTCTTCAGGTAGGGTGTACGTATGATGAGGGATTTTTTTCCTCACCAGGAGTTTGGACATATTTCCATAGTCCTCGATCGTCGAAGATTGAACCTTGATGCCGTCGGCCAGGTTCACCACTTTTGAATAATTCATCTTGTGAAAGGTGGCTAATTTGGTAAATTGAACCCACTTGTCCTTCTGGCGAACGACAATCGGGGGAACGCGTGTTTTCTTGGCGCTTTGGGGCGCTTCAGAACGCAGGGGGGGATGGGAGATGTTTCCCAAATCGTTGAGATTTTCAACCTGATGAAGACCGTGTCTTTTTGGGCCACCCTGTATAGTGGTGAACGAATTCTCTGATTTGTTGTCGAAATCGTCGACTGACATTTCGAGTTCTCCATCTACGGAGGATTCAGTGGTCGATATCTCCGACTCCGAAGCACTATGTCTTGCTTCTTTTCGAAGCTTGGTTTTCTTCGCTGTTCTTTTCGGCTTTGCTCCGGTGCTTTCAGCAACAGTCGGAGTAGCTGGCTTAGGAGGAAGAGAAGGAAGCTCCTCTGGTAGACGGCGTTTTTTGTTGGCCGGTTCTTGCGGCTTGATCTTGTCTACTTTGTCTGGCTGTGTAGAGGAGGTGGTGTTCACAGAAGCACTTTCAGGGGAAGTATTCTGTGACGGGCGCTCGAGAAGCTCTCTGACCCCTGGTGGGGGAGCAGAGGGCGTCCGAACTACCGCCCCTTAACAGGTCTGATGGACTCAGGCCCAGGCGGTCAAGTAATAATCCCATAAGGGTAATTACTTTACCCCTGTCCCTGGCCATCAGGCTGTCGAGCAGTTCCTCCATACTGCTGTGACTTTGAACGAAGTATTGAAACTACCAGAAGCTTTGAGCAACAGGAAAGTAACGGAAATGAGATATCAAAACGTACTCACCAACGCACGAACTACACCGAGCCAGAAACACTACAGCACGGCTGATCATTCACTGAGAAATCGGCAAAAAACACACTGTATCGCTGAGATACGTCTGTACACTTCAGTGGTCAGCAATCGAAATTTTTAATGTATGTAGACAAAATGAGAGAAAACCAAGAAAGTACTTGATGAAAATAGCTGCGTAAACGCAAGCGAAACGTAAGTGGAACCACCTATTGGTGTGACACCCAAGTCAACTTGCCAAGTTTTTATGTCAGTGTTGGTGGTTTGACCAATCAACCGACACACCAATAGGTGGTTCTACTTATGAATGGAAATGCACAGAGCGTCTCAACTCAGGTATTTCAGGTACTTTAGGTAAATTTGCCAGTGTTTGTACTGCATCAGGAACTCTTCTTTGTGTTAGATCTTCTCTAGGAATGTGTATGGTTTTGTTTAATATATTGAATGTGAGGTCTTGTTGTGTTTTGATTTGTACTTGTTCCTCGATAAGTGATTTATGACTGTTAAATTTATGGATGTTCAAGTTTTTCCAAATG